TAGCAGTGCATGCTACACAGGCTCTTCAGGACGTCACAACCCCGCCCCTTTCCCATGGCCTACAGCTACAGCAGCTGAAGCAAACGTGAGGCTACCTCCATTTGTAACACAGGCCCACATCTCTTCCGCTCCCTCATGCTACTAATAACCATTTTTCTGTTCAGTGGCCTCCAGCTCCCATAGCAGATGCTAGCATGAGCACGCCTCCGCTAGTGGCGCAGACCCATCCTCAGCCCTTTCCTTACCCCACTCCCAACCCCGTCCCCTACCCATGGCCTGCAGCCCCACCGTTCAACCCTAGCGTGCAGCTGCCTCCGCTAATGGCGCAGGCCCGACACCCTCCCTTCCTATGTGCGGTCAGACCGCTTCCATATCAAAGAAGCTCACCGAATCCTCATCAGCCGACCCCCTTTAACGCCAGTCCATCCCTGTTCACTCGAACTCCTGACCCACCATAGCTAACCCCCTTTAACATCACCTAATCCATCTACAACGGCCCATCCCCACTCCAGCCATCCCAACAGCACCCCGCATCCGCAGGAGCCTTACCTAAATTCCCACACTGCTGCAGCAGTGCCCACTCCCGCAGGAGCTTTTCCATATTTCCCCACTGCAGCTCCGGCAGAAGCTTTACCTAATTCCCACACTGCTGCAGCAGTTCCCGCTCCCACAGGAGCTTTTTTCATATTTCCCCACTGCCACTGCAGCTCCGGCAGAAGCCTTACCTAATTCCCACACTGCCGCAGCAGTGCCCGCTCCCGCTTCATCTGAACTCGTGAAAGCCATCAGAGAAACTCTGAAACAATGAAGACATTTGATAAGAAATGAAGAACAAACAGGAGAGAGCAGAGCCAAACACTCTCAGGATCTCATGGGCAGATCAAACGCTGCTTTAAGACACTCTTAACTTCTCTAGTCTCTGATCATGTTATGGCTCAGTTTATTTCTGTTGAAAATGATGCCACTGAACAGAAGAGGAAGCTGTGGTCTACTGGAGCTTAAAGTTAACATGTTGTGAAATGACCAAAAAAGAGCTGGATGTTCCCACACATCAAGTTGTGCAGTTATTATAGCTGACTGACAGTAGAGTATCTCATGACTTTACTACAGAGCAGCCTCACATCAGCTCATCTGTCATTTTATTACTGAACCAGTTCTGAAGAGTTTGTCTTTTCATATTTGTGGACTGAAACCGTTGAAGATGTTTGACAGATTTGGCTTCTGTTTGTGTTTGTGGCATCTGGTTGGTGAGTTTTTATGGCTTCAGTTCCTTGAGATTCAGTTTTTTTTTTTTTTTTAAATGTCCTTTATATAAATCACTGAAGCTCAAACAGCAGCAGCTTTAGTTTCAGTGTGACCTGATTCTCATCTGCAGTAAAAGTGTTTTCTGTGTATGGTGTGTAGAGATATTTTACATTTTAAATTGTCTTTAAGTTATGTAAAAAATATTTTTTCTTTATGTTCTTCAGGTGTGTTTGCTGATGCAGATGCAGTGACGTCAGTGTCAGTGACGGAGGGAGATTCAGTCTCTCTAGAATCTGGTCTTACTGAAATACAGACACGGGATCTGATAACATGGACTTTTGGACATCCAGAGACTCGTATAGCTCAAATGAGTAAAGAGGCTGGAACCTTCTCTACATCTGATGGTGATGCTGTGGGATTCAGGGACCGAGTGAAGCTGGATCATCAGACTGGATGTCTGACCATCACAAACACCAGAACCACAGACTCTGGACTTTACCATATAAACATCAAAGGCACGAAACCGACCACATACAGATTCAGTGTTACTGTCTATGGTGAGTCACAACTACAGTGTCATTTTTGCTGCCAGTCTTTATACTAATATTTGTTTATTAAGTAGTTTTACACAAAATAATTGTATTTAAGTAAAATAAATGTATTTACTAAGATATCTCATTATGAGAAGCATTTCTGTAACATTTCTCATTACATTTTCATTTACAGGTCTCTCTTTTAATGACATTATAACTTATGCAATTAGTTGTTCCTCTTCAGGAACTCGAGCTGCGTCGGAAAACGCTAGGGGAACGCCTTCTGTGACCACGCTCTGAATAACATGTGAAATCAGTCCAATAGCTGAGCGGGACGTCACGGGCAGGTGACGTCATGACCAGGAAGCTATAAAAGCACGTGTGGCGGAGCCAGTCTAAGCTCATGCAAAGACAAAGCATTTCAAGGGCGAGAGCAAGCCACGTTGTAGGTTGTGTGTTCCTTGGGGGCGAAGCACAGTTGTTACTGCCTTGCTTCGCTCTCAGAGGGCTCTCTTTGAGGAGGGAGCCTTCACTAGCGTTCCTCGCGGTGCCATTGGACTGATTTCACATGTTATTCAGAGCGTGGTCACAGAAGGCGTTCCCCTAGCGTTTTCCGATGCAGCGTCTTGTTCCCTCTAGGAACCAGGGTTACATACGTAACCTGAGACGTTTCAACACAAGCAAACATCATAAATGTGATTCCATGTTTTGTTTTTAGTCCGAATGGACCCTGTGATAGTCTTTCCTTTTGCTTTATCTTAATAATCATCAGTGCATCTGGTTTGATCTGTCGGTGGAGAAACAACCAACATGTTTCGGTGTGTGTGTGTCTGTAGTTTGTGTGTGAAGCATTTTTCTCCTATTATGAATTTCACAATCTTGTTTCACACAAAAAAATCTTTACACTGAAATACAGTGAATCCATCAGTAGTCAAACAACGCCGGGAACACGCATCAGATCGCTGTTCGACTCAAACTACACAACTGTCTGAGGGACCATTTAGTTGCTGTTTTGTGCACATGACACAACGGATCGGCATAAGAGCCAGAGGTCAAAGGGCAAGCAGCTCACAGCACTAAATAACACACCAGTAGACGGATAGCTGATCCAATATTTCCTCCTTCTGCTAGTTTTCACACAGGGACAGAATTCATTTGAAAATGTAGATCAGCAGAAGCTTGTTGATCTTTGTGATGTTAAAGGAGACGGACATGTCAACAGAAACTGAGGTTTGGGAGGATTCAACCAGATTCATAAATAGCACAGTTCAGTCATGAGGGTTTTCAGACATTTTAAGCCCCGTTTGGTACAGTTCTGGAGTTCCTGCAGGCCTGTTTATCCGCAGGGTTGACCCACTCCACCCTACAGATCTTCGTGGCAGCCATTGCGGCCTACCACGCCCTTCTCGGTGGCCATTCAGTGGGAAGACACCCTCTTCTTACACGTTTCCTCTGCGGTGCGCTGAGGCCGAGGCCTCCGGCCAGAGAATCTTATGCTAAGTGGTGGATCAGGATGCTATTCCATAGCCTCGAGTCCTCTGATCTCCCCTCTCCTTTGGGGGTCAAGATTCACTCCTCCAGAAGTTGGCCTTTGGGATGGTGGGCCCTGCCTACTTTAGCCACTCCGGGCTCTTCTGCTCTCTCGCCGTAGCTGTGCAGTCTTCCACACTAGGCAGAGCTTTGGAAGTCTGGTGGCGTGGGCATTCTCGTTCCCCTAGCGTTTTCCGACGCAGCTCGAGTTCCTGAAGAGGAACGTCTCAGCAGAGCGTGGTCACAGAAGGCGTTCCCCTAGCGTTTTCCGATGCAGCGTCTTGTTCCCTCTAGGAACCAGGGTTACATACGTAACCTGAGACGTTTCAACACAAGCAAACATCATAAATGTGATTCCATGTTTTGTTTTTAGTCCGAATGGACCCTGTGATAGTCTTTCCTTTTGCTTTATCTTAATAATCATCAGTGCATCTGGTTTGATCTGTCGGTGGAGAAACAACCAACATGTTTCGGTGTGTGTGTGTCTGTAGTTTGTGTGAAGCATTTTTCTCCTATTATGAATTTCACAATCTTGTTTCACACAAAAAAATCTTTACACTGAAATACAGTGAATCCATCAGTAGTCAAACAACGCCGGGAACACGCATCAGATCGCTGTTCGACTCAAACTACACAACTGTCTGAGGGACCATTTAGTTGCTGTTTTGTGCACATGACACAACGGATCGGCATAAGAGCTAGAGGTCAAAGGGCAAGCAGCTCACAGCACTAAATAACACACCAGTAGACGGATAGCTGATCCAATATTTCCTCCTTCTGCTAGTTTTCACACAGGGACAGAATTCATTTGAAAATGTAGATCAGCAGAAGCTTGTTGATCTTTGTGATGTTAACTCTATGGGAGATTCCCGTCAGGAGAGATCTCCTCTCACAGGCTGAGGGCACGCCCCCGCCCGGAGCTGTGGGAGCTGTGGGTTTGGCCTCTGAGGAGGCACAACTCATAACTTCCGGTCTCTCACCCGAGGTTGTTGAGACTATCCTCCATCCAGACCATCAGTAGTCAAACAACGCCGGGAACACGCATCAGATCGCTGTTCTACTCAAACTACACAACTGTCTGAGGGACCATTTAGTTGCTGTTTTGTGCACATGACACAACGGATCGGCATAAGAGCTAGAGGTCAAAGGGCAAGCAGCTCACAGCACTAAATAACACACCAGTAGACGGATAGCTGATCCAATATTTCCTCCTTCTGCTAGTTTTCACACAGGGACAGAATTCATTTGAAAATGTAGATCAGCAGAAGCTTGTTGATCTTTGTGATGTTAAAGGAGACGGACATGTCAACAGAAACTGAGGTTTGGGAGGATTCAACCAGATTCATAAATAGCACAGTTCAGTCATGAGGGTTTTCAGACATTTTAAGCCTGGCTATCATGGGCTTTTCTGTGAACCGATGAAGAAAATGTCTAAATGAAATTAGTTTGGTTCTGTTTGTGTTGGTGAGTTTGAAATGTGTTTTTATGATTTCAGTTGCTTCTGTTCTGGTAACATGTAATAAATTACTGGTTAAATTAGTCAGAGAGGATAAACATTCACTGTTATTCTCATATAGAAATGAACAATCTTATTGTGAGGTCAAGTTTAAATTCAGGTCCAACTCATACGGATATTTAAAAAATGTTTTAAAGCTTTAATCTGCAAAAAAACTCTGTTCTTCAGGTGTGTTTGGTGTTGAAATGAAGTCGGTGTCAGTGATGGAGGGAGATTCAGTCACTCTAAACTTTGATCTTACTGAAATACATGATGATGATCTGATTCAGTGGGGGTTTGGAAATGAAACCTTATTAGTTGAAATTAATAAACAGACAGACAGCATCACTGTATATGATGATGCTCTTGACGGGAGATTCAGAGACCGACTGAAGCTGAACAATCAAACTGGATCTCTGACCATCACTAACATCACAACTGAACATGCTGGACGTTATTTACTACTGAAATGTGGAGCAAAAGCAGCGTCAAAAGCATTCAGAGTTTCTGTCTATGGTGAGTAGAGATCATTTATCCTGCCCCTCAACTATTCTTGTTAACAATGTACATATTTATTGTTGGATCATTTTAGAATTTCAGATGACAGACTATAAACACTCAACACACTGAACCAAAACTAAGTTTGTTGATTAGATGTTCATATTTCTCTTTATTCTCTCATGTTTTCAGCTCGTCTGCCTGTTCCTGTCATTAGCAGTAACTCTTCACAGTGTTCTTCATCATCATCAAGATGTTCATTGGTGTGTTCAGTGGTGAATGTGAGTGATGTGACTCTCTCCTGGTACAAAGGAAACATTTTATTGTCCAGCAGCAGTGTGTCTGATCTCAGCATCAGTCTCTCTTTACCTCTGGAGGTTGAGTGTCTGGATGATTCCTACAGCTGTGTTGTGGCTCATTCATTCACCAACCGGACCACACATCTCAACACTGGACTCTGTCACACATGTTCAGGTATGTCAGCTGTGATTTTTTTATGTCAGCAATAATGTTTATTGACTGAGCTGATCTCAGTTTGGTGTTTTTATTCCTCAGACTCTGTCCACTGTTGTGGTTCTACTGAAGCTGTGATCCGATTGATCCTCTCTGCTCTGGTGGGCGTGGCTACTGTCATTCTTCTGGTTTATGACATCAGATCCAGAAGAGCTGAACAAGATCGAGCACAGATTCACACACCAGGTACATGATTGATGTCATTACGCACAAATTGATTTTGCATATATACACTGAACAAAATTATAAACGCAACACTTTTGTTTTTGCACCCATTTTTCATGAGCTGAACTCAAAGATCTAAGACTTTTTGTATGTACACAAAAGGCCTATTTCTCTCAAATATTGTTCACAAATCTGTCTAAATCTGTGTTAGTGAGCACTTCTCCTTTGCCGAGATAATCCATCCACCTCACAGGTGTGGAATATCAAGATGCTGATTAGACAGCATGATTATTGCACAGGTGTGCCTTAGGCTGGCCACAATAAAAGGCCACTCTAAAATGTGCAGTTTTACTGTATTGGGGAAAAAAAATTAACTTAAATGATTTTAGCAAATGGCTGCAATATAACAAAGAGTGAAAAATTGAAGGGGGTCTGAATACTTTCCGTACCCACTGTATATACATATTTGTGAGATTTATTAATTTGTATGTTCATCTATTTCAGGAAGTATTGAAATCTAAAGCAGAACGCTAAAGGCTCTTGAAGTGTTTTCTGTTCTTCTAGTGTTTTTGTCATAAATACTGATGATTATTCGAGCGTATGCTCTCTTTCAGTGTCAGATTTTTAAAAGTCCAATTTGAAAGCCTTTTTTGTTTATATTTCCCTCAGATACCTAAAACAAATGAATAAAGAGACACACAGATCTCTCTTTACTACTGCTGTTCATTTGTCATCTGTATTTGCTTGCCTTTAGCAATAAAGTTTTTATTCACTCTGAGGTTCAAGAGTCTCTGCATGTTTTGTTACATTTATTATGTCGAGCACCTCCTGCAGGAAAACTCCTCCTCCGTCAGTCAACCATAAAGTCTTTAAATCTCTGTAGTGTGATTTGTGTCTGTGTTTCATCTGTGGATCAACAGCACCATCAGTAGCTCAGTCTGAATCAGCATGTTATCAGGAGTGATCTGCTAAGTTTCCTCTGACTCCACTAGTTCTGTCTGATTGCTTTTGCTGTTCAGCTGGGCATCATTTGCATTCGCACCAAAGAATTTCTACACAAACAAGGTATTACTTTTATATTGTGAACACAGAATTGATATTTTTGGACACAGTAGTGAATGAAACTTGTTTGAATGGAGTTTGTTGGTCTTCTCTTGTCCCACCAGAACTTAGTCCTCAAGCTGTGAATCTCTTTGAGTTTCTCATACTCAAAATAGCAGATGTAATAATCAACTGCAACTAATATAGACTCTCCTGTTGGTAGAGCTTGTTCATATTGAATTCTATTGAGTTTCAGACCTCTGCAAGACTGCATGTAGTCTCTGATCATGTGTCATTGGTTTGGAGAAAGAAAATAATAACTCTGTTCTTCAGATGTGTTTGGTGTCAATGCAGTGAAGTCAGCGTCAGTGATGGAGGGAGATTCAGTCAATTCAATTCATGTTTATTTGTATAGAGTTTTTCACAATACATTTCGTTTCGAAGTTCTAGAAAAATATAAATCATGCAATTAGTTAATGACCGTATTCATGCAGAAACGATTAACATGATTGAGGCAATGATTACATGTTGTGGTCATTATGATTAAAGTCAGATTTGTCAGTTTTGAATATTGATTTAGAGTTGGCATCATATGATGTCTTCAGTAGAGGCCGGATCTAGCTTGCATACTATCTAGTTACCAGGGGCCAGTCGTTCAAAAGTAATCTGATCGGATTTTGGCCTTTGGATTGGATTGAATCTGGAAAATGGGTTGTTCGAAAGAAGAAGAAAAAAGGATTCTAAATTCTGATTAGATCACAAAATCCAATCTTGGTTTTGATCTAGATTAAATCCTCAGTTTGTGTTGTTGAAGACGTTTTACTAAGATTGGGATACTTTTTATCCAAAAAAAAATGGATTATTCTGATCCCAGCAGAAGGGTGGATTTCAGGAACCAAAATGTAATAAAACTTTAAAACTGGTCCAAAAATGACAACATTTGTAACGTAATATATCCCCAAACAGCTGTCAATATCAAACTACAATATTATATTTCATTTAAAGTTTTTTATTTTTATTTATTTTTATTTTTTTTTAATCACTGATTAAGAAATCTAGCTGGATCAGGATGATCCAATCCAATTTTTCTCTGGAAAAACCGTCTCAAAAGTAAGATGGGTTACCTGATCCTGGATAGCAAAATATGGGATTTCCAAATCCAGACCATTTTGATCCAGACTAAACTTTTTGAACAACTGGCCCCTGGGGATGAGCGTCCTGAGGTAGAAACAGAAATGAGAGATTAATTAGTGTATGTCCACAGAAGAAATTATTTTTTTTCTCCAAATTTTTTATGACATCCACTTCAAACCTTACAATGCACATGATAACTTTCATTAACTCTACAATAAATAAATCCACTTCACCAGCTCATTACTCTTCAACAGCGATGCTATAGATACCGCAAAAACGGAAGTTCAAAGACAGAATTTTAAAGATGGCTGCGTGCTTGTTTCTCTTATGCATACAGTTTACATGATTGAGTCTTCTGTTCAAAAATAAATAAATACTATTTTTTTTTTTAAATAAAGAAAACAAGCAATTGCAAGCAATACTGAGCTCTCTGGATTGTAATATCAGTACTAAACAGAAAACGTTTAACTTTAAATTTTTTGACCTTTGATTCAAACAGATTCATTTATATTTACTTTTACAAAAAAAAAAATGATTGCATTTAATGTGCTATATCTGTAATTCTTCCTGTTTTTTTGTTTTGTTTTAAATCTATTATTAAAGTTTGCAAAACAAGACCTAAGTAGCAAAGTCTTTTGAAAGAGTTTGTTCAAATTGATAATTAAAAAAAATAATCAAATCAACACATTAAAATATAAGAATTTCACTGGATTAGATACCAAAATATCAAATTAAGTGATATCTGTGAACAAATGATCAACCAGGTTTTCTCAGAATTAACTTTTCTGATATTTATTATGATTTATTTATTTGCAATTTCTTTCAACAACAAACTAGCCTCAAGATAAATGAACATTTGACTTTTTAGTAAGTCACCTACAGAAGAAACACGTCTTGAGCACGAGTCCAATCAATCCTAGAAGCAGGATGTTCGAAACTAAAAAGAGAAACAAATGAACAGATATAGATCTGAAATAGATATAGATTACAGTAACAAATACTTTAAAGTGTACAGAAGCATTGCTGACTGATCTGTTTTCCTGTGGCCTTTTATGAAATAATGTTTTTGTGATTCGATGTACAAGTGCATCTCAATAAATTAGAATGTCGTGGAAAAGTTCATTTATTTCAGTAATTCAACTCAAATTGTGAAACTCGTGTATTAAATAAATTCAATGCACACAGACTGTAACACACTTTATAATTTTCATAATTCAAAATTTATACAGTGCATAGCAAACACTATGAGGAAATAAAATAAATGTCACATTTGTTTAGAGCATTTTCTATAACAAGTCAAGCTGCAATACCAAACAGGACCACGCAGAGATGCCAACAGACCACTATACCACACTGTAAAAAATGAATCATGGGTCTTGTAATTTTCATTTAAAAAATCAAGGTGATAATTAAAACTAGTGTATATTTCATTAAAGAAATTGTGGTTCAGTGTTGTATAGAAAATATTGAGGACTTTTTACTAATAAAACCAAGAGATGTGTTTTCCTCATTTTTTTAAAGGAAACTTAAGCAATTTTGGGGCTTGAATTGAGGAACTGATTAAACTAAAAAAATTAAGGAAAGAAGGCTACCTATTTATTTTAAGAGAATTAGCTCAATTTTGCAGTTTTATTTTAGAGGTGATTGTTAGTTCCCAGCATGCTTTGCATATGGCTGGATATGGAGAGTAAATTTTGAAATTAAATGCTATTTTATGTGTTTTTGAGTGAAGGGAAACATCTATTAATGTTTAATGTTCAGTTATAAAATCCCTCCAGTGCTTTTTTTTAAATCCCTATTTTAAAATCCCCTTTCTCAAATCAGGCTGTTCTGAGATTACTGTCAGAGTGACGTAGTTCTGCACAGGCCCCACCCACGATGTTTGATTGACAAGTTCGTCTTACCTTAGACCCGCCCTGAGTGAGCTGTCATCAGTCCCCCATTGTGTCGACTCCGGTAAAGGGGAAGACAAGAATGTCTCCGATTAAGCAATTGAGATGTTTTGTTGCTGGATGTAATAATGAACATAGCAGTCGTCATTTACTCCCGACATCTGAGCCGCTGAAGACGCAGAGGATTAACGTTACTTTCGTTTTGAAGGGAATGTGCCGATCCTCGATCTGTCTAAACGCGTCTATGTTTGCGTGGATCATTTGTGATCCAGCTTCATCTCATAGCAGTCGTCATTTACTCCCGACATCTGAGCCGATGAAGACGCCGAGGATTAACGTTACTTTCGTTTTGAAGGGAATGTGCCGATCCTCGATCTGCCTATGTTTGCGCGGATCATTTGTGATCCAGCTTCATCTACAGTAGGAGTATAAGGGTTTTTTATTAATCTCTGCAAATCGCCTTTCCTAATAATGTGCTAGTTTGCCAGTTTCTCGGCTGAGGTTTACAGTCTGCTCGTCACCCAACGGAAGAGAGGGGCGGGGTCAGTAGAATAGCAGTCGTCATTTACTCCCGACATCTGAGCCGCTGAAGACGCAGAGAATTAACGTTACTTTCATTTTTGAAAGGAATGCACTGATCCCCGATCTGCCTAAATACGTCTATGTTCGCGCGAATCAATCGTGATCCAGCTTCATCTACAGAAGAAGTGAGTATAAGGGTTTTTTTTATGAATCTTTGCAAATGGCCTTTCCTAATATGTGCTAGTTAGCAAGTTTCACGGCTGAAGTTTACAGTCTGCTCGTCACACCACGGAAGAGAGGGGCGGGGTCAGCAGAGCTCATTAGCATTTAAAGCAACATGGACTAGAATGGCATGCTGAAAACAGAGCTGATTTTGACAGGGTAAAAAGGATGTTTTTTACACTACCATTGAGAAATTTTAACCAAAGTATGTTATAGACTTTTCATTAAGACCCTAAAGAATCATATCAACTTGTGGAAAATGTGCATCCGAAGACCCCTTTAAAGGAAACTTAAGCAGTTTTGAGGCTTGAATCGAGGAACTGATTAAACTAGAAAAATGAAGGAAAGAAGGCTACCTATTTATTTTAAGAAAATTAGCTCAATTTTGCAGTTTTACTTTAGAGGTGATTGTTAGTTCCCAGCATGCTTTGCATATGGCTGGATATGGAGAGTAAATTTTGAAATTAAATGCTATTTTATGTTTTGTTTTGTTTTTAATGAAGGGAAACATCTATTAATGTTTAATGTTCAGTTATGTTTGACATTTGAAAGAGTTTGAAGTTACGTTGAAGTTCCATTGTGCAGAAGAGTAGAGCTTATGGCTACTACTCCTCTAAGGCATTAAGCCTTGTTCAATGAGCAATAGCTTTGCTAGTGCTAGTGCAGTATTTTCCAGTATTTATCAAGTATTTTCCTACTTGAGCTGTTTGGCTGTATACAGTCTTTTAAATGTACAAAATAACTCGGGCCTCACTCAAAATCACAGCCTTTTGAGAATCAACTTTAAATAAATGAGCACATTTCACTAATTATATTAAATTAATTGTGTCATAGATTAATTAATTTAGGAGATTTTACATGATTTATTCAGGTAGATTCCATTAATAAAAATTACTCAAAAATATTATGTGTAATATTGTTACCATATATATATTTTTTAAGTAGATAGCTTGTTCCATTTTTTACAGTGCAGTCGCCTTAACCTGACTGTATATAAATATATACGGATCCATTCATAATTATTAAACAGAGCAGAACACAAGTAAAAAAGCAAATAAAACATTCTGAATTTGTCGAATGTGGTGATCTGAAGGTGGCTCAACATGAGCAGTGAACAGTCAGAGTGAGTGTTTTTTGCCCATATGTATATAAACACCACTGACCATTGCAAACTCCTATAATAACACTCTTCTTCAGCGAGTGTCCATTACAAACACTTGCCAGACATGCGACCATACTGAAATATGCTCATGCATAAAGCTATCAGAGAGCGCACATATACGGTCTGTTTATTTGCACGCTAAAAATATTACAAACATTGCTGCTTTGTCACAAGAGTAACTGGAGGTGGACCTCTGAATGCCAGGAGTCATTCAAAAGGGCAAAAGAGATGCTGTAAAGATCAAAAGCCCTGACTCATTTTGATTCTGCTCTTACAATTCAGCGGAAGCAAATTGAATTTAAACTAAATTTTATCAATACATCTTCAGAAGGAAGTTGATGTTGTTGATGGATCATTGCCCGCTCACTGCAATATTTAGCCCACACCAGGGCATTCCCTCTCTCGCTGCTTGTAGGATGCAAAGGTGGGCTTTGTTGTTATCCACTCACACCTATGACATCAAGCAGATCAAGTGCTGCTTTAAGACACTCTTAACTTCTCTAGTCTCTGATCATGTTATGGCTCAGTTTATTTCTGCTGAAAACAACAACATTGATCAACAGGAAGTTGAGGGAGACTGGAGCTAAAAGCGACAAAGGAAGTGTGACTAAATAAGCAAGAAAAGAGCTGGAGGACATGGATCAACACTTCAAGTTGTGCAGTTATTTAGCTGACAGTTTCTCATGACTTTACTACAGATCAGCCTCACATCAGCTCATCTGTCATTTTATTACTGAACCAGTTCTGAAGAGTTTGTCTTTTCATGTTTTTGGACTGAAACCGTTGAAGACGTTTGACAGATTTTGGTTCTGTTTGTGTTTGTGGCGTCTGGTTGGTGAGTTTAAATAAATTTTTATGGCTTCAGTTGCTTCTGTTCTGGTACCATGTTGTCACGAATCCGGTCTATAAACTTCCGTTCACTCACCACCAGAGGTCACCCGCTCTCCACATGGACTCTCACACTTCATAGACTGTTAAACATCCCCCTGGACTGCATTTCCCATGCTCCATTGCACTAATCACAAGCTCACCTGAAACCAATCACACACAGCTGCTACCAATAACACACACTATATAAATCAGTCTCACACCCCCATTCAACGCCGGGTATTGTTTAGTGTGTATCACTGCTATAGCTGATAGCTACCTTACGGAGCCTGCTTTAATACCAGTTTGCCATTGTCTGACCCATGCCTGTTTCTGACCACGTCTCCTAAATAAAGCTTGCAAATGGATCCGCACGTCTCACATCTCGTTCGTCCCGTAACACATGTAATAAATACGGGATAATTTAGTTAGAGAGGTTTAACATTCACAGTAAGTATGTCTGAAAAAGCACAATTTAAATATATTTATTTTTCACCTGGGTATTCTCATATAGAAATAAGTGAACTGTGATTTTTACAGTGAGATCAAGTTTGAATTCAGATCTAAATTCAGGTCTATTATAGAATGATAAAATAAAATAAATATGAAGCTTAAATACCCAACAGTGTTAGTTTGACATTAAAGATTAAAGTAAAAGCGTGGCCAAAAGTGATGTCCAGAGGGTATTGGTTTGAGGATTTGTTTTTAATGACTCTACAAGTTTGATTAAACCATCATAGAAAGTATTTTATATCTTAAAAAAAAATGATATCTTTTAAAATAAACTCTGTTCTTCAGGTGTGTTTGGTGAAATTAAGTTAGTGAAAATCGGACATTCTGTCGCTCTAAACTCTGGTCTTTCTGAAACGGTGGATAATTATCTGATTCAGTGGAGGTTTGAAAACACTTTAATAGCTGAAATCAATGTGACGGCTGGCAGCGTCACTGTACAGGATGGTGTTCTTGACGGGAGATTCAGAGACAGACTGAAGCTGGACAATCAAACTGGATCTCTGACCATCACAAACATCACAACTCAACATGCTGGAGTTTATACAGTAGAGACCAACCATATGAGCTTAATGTTCATTCTCGCTGTCTATGGTGAATTAAACTGTTGTTACACCTTTTTTATTTTTTTCATCACCAGATACAATATTAATCCAAACACTATTTTGCTTTTTTTTTTCATCTGTTCTGTTGTTTTATATTATTTTTTGAAAATTACATTTCAAACTAATACTTTTTTTTAACTAAAACAATTATAAAGTGTTTTTACAGTACTAATTTGTGACAAACCCTCTTTCTGTTTGTTCTCTGTGTGTGTTTGATGATGCAGATGAAATATCAGTTACTGAAATGATGCATGGTGTTTTGATTCAGTGGCTGTTTGGATATGAAAACACTTTATTAGCTGAGACCAGTAAACGGGCCGACGGATTCACTGTATATGATGATGTTCTTGATGGGAGATTCAGAAGCTGGACAATCAAACTGGATCTCTGACCATCACAAACATCACAAATCAACATGTTGGACGTTATTTACTACAGATAGAAGAACCAAAACATTTAAATCTAAGCAAGTCATTTAAAGGTTTAAGTGTTTCTGTCTATGGTGAGTAGAGATCATTTGTCCTGTCCTTCAAATATTCTTGATATTAGCATTTAATGACTGATTTGATCTCAGTTTGGTGTTTTTATTCCTCAGACTCTGTCCACTGCTGTGGTTCTACTGAAGCTGTGATCCGATTGGTCCTCTCTGCTCTGGTGGGCGTGGCTACTGTCATTCTTCTGGTTTATGACATCAGATCCAGAAGAGCTGAACAAGATCAAACACAGATTCACACATCAGGTACATGATTGATTATGTAATTTCTCAAAAAAATGTTTTTGCATTTCTAAATATTTGTGCGGTTTATTACTTTATGGCTTTATATGGTCATCTTTTTCAGGAAGTATTGAAATCTGAACGAGACGCTGAACTTTAAAGCTTCTTCAAGTGTGTTTTGTGTGGTTTGTCATATTAATACAGATTACCAAAAGTTGCTTTGCTTGTATTATTCATTATATCAGGTTTACCTTTTTAACTTTTTATATTTTATTTTTTATATATATATAAACTTCAGAGTTGATTCAGGGTTTAATGGCTTTTAAAATGACACTGTCTTCTAATGTTATTATTGTACAGATCCAGTTTAAAAGGCTTGTTGTTTATATTTCTCTCCGATAAGACACAGAGATCTCACTGCACTATACATTTGTCATCTGTATTTGCTTGCCTTTATCAATAAAGTTTTCTCACTCTTTGCATTGATTATGTCGAGCGACCTCTGGAGGAATACAGAAGTTCAGAGTGCAGCATGTACAGTTTTACCCATAGACTGTATAAAAACATGGACGTAGTGTCCGTGACGTCACCCGTAGGTTTCCGAAGAGCGTTTTTGAAGCCTAAAGTAGGCGGAGCCGGCCGTCGCCATCTTGGCAGCGCGTCACCGCGCGTCACTCCCGGATAATCGAAAATGTGCAAAGAGGCGGGAGCTGGTTGCTGAAACCACGCCCACCAAGCTCGACGGTGGTGTCAGCAGCGGCAATCCACCTGTCACTCAAGTGGCCACGCCCTTAATTATGCAGAACTTTAAGGCTTAATATAATTTAAACCGATGAGTTATAAAAAAAATTCACCCCCCTCACAGTTGTCATGAAGGGCAAAATTAGCTATATAGACCAAAATAATTTTTTGAACCAGGCTGTAAACATGTTTTTTCTGCTGTAAAGTTGGGCATTTTAACATGGGGAGTCTATGGGATTGACTCCCTTTTGCAGCCAGCCTCTAGCGGCCAGTTGACGAATTACAGGTTAAATCACTTCCGTGTTGGCTTCACAAGAGAGAGCGGGAGGTTGCCGCTTGGTTTTACCTTATTAAAATGTTATTTTAAATATTATTTGTAAATGTTTACATCATCAAGCGTCTTCTTATACTGATTAAACGTTGTTTTATTGTTATAAACATTATAAATTGTCAAGAGAAAACCACATGTACATCTAAAAAGTTTTTTTTATTAAAGTACTGAATATAGTAGCTATATTAATGCAAAGAGTTATCATCATCCAGCTCAGTTCACTTCTCATCTGTTAATATCAGCGCAGTCAAATCAGTAATATTGCTGAATATTATAATCTAAGCAAGCCAAATTCCATCAGGTGACCGAATGGAGGAAAAACCTAAATATGAATCAGACTAATATTAGCATTTCAGGCTACTCATACACGTTTCACGTCTTTATTGGGTGCTTTAAGGATAAACTTGCGCATAAGTCATGTCATCCCGTGGTTACGTAAACGAACTGGCGAATCGGTTATTATTTGAAACCGAATCGAACTGTCCGAAAGAACCGTGGGAAAGAATCAGACTTTCCCGTTTGCCCGAGGCTCGGGATTACAGGTAATAATATTCAGATTCTTGTCCAGACCGATCGTTTCGCTTCATTAGGCCCCAATATATCGTCAGCAGTCACGGGTATTAATTTTGTAGCGCCTGATATGCTTTTAACTTGCATTTTATTAAACACAAAGGACCGGTTTCAGCTAAAAATGCTCTACTGAAGAAAAAAAAGTCACACATCTTGGATGGCCTGACTGAGAGTGAGTAAATTAACAGCAAATTTTCATTTTTGGGTGAACACTCCCTTTAAGATGGAAAAGAAGTGGTTTCACAAATGCTAGAAATGTGGCTTTCTGAAGAAAAATTGCTATCAAGGAGCATCTCTGATAGCACTTCTATACTTTGGTAGCAAATCTACTCTTCTCAGTTTTTTCAGAAAAACAAACCAAGGTAAACTGTATGTTTTCTTTAATGTTTACTCACGAATTTTGTTCTAACAACACAGACAAACATTATTAATGTAATTCACTGGATTTTGAGTTAAAATGGGTCCTGCAAGGTTCTTTTTCTCTTTGTTTTATGTGTACAAACATCAGTGTGTCTGGTTTGATCTGTCAGTGGATAAACAGCTCACATGTTTATGGTTGCTGTGTGTGTCTGTAGTTTGTGTGTGAAGCGTTTCTTCATTTTCTGTCCTGATCATATGAACCTCACAATCTTCTGCTCCACACAAAACGTCTTTACAATGATATGAAGTGAATCCATCAACAGTCAATTAAGAGTCAGAGGTCAATATGATTGACAGCTTACAATGCTAAATAACACGATACAGATATCTAATACAATATTTCACTCTTTTATTATTTTTCACACAGGGACAGAATTCATTTGAAAAGGTAAGATCAGCAGAAGCTTGTTGATTTTCGTGATGATAAAGGAGACGGACATGTGAGCGGAAACTAACTGAGGTTCGGGGAGGATTCAACCAGATAAATAGCACAGTTCAGTCGTTTCAGATCAATCTTGAGTGTTTTCAGATATTTTAAGAGCTACTATCATGAGCTTTTCATTTGAGAAAATGTCTCTGAAATCAGTTTTGTTCTGTTTGTGTTTGTGGCGTCTGGTTGGTGAGTTTAAATTCATCTTTATGGCTTCTGTTGCTTCTGTTCTGGGAACATGTAATAAATTACTGGTTAAATTAGTCAGAGAGGATAAACAATCACTGATATTCTCATACAGAAATAATTAAACTGTGATTTTACTGTGAGATCAAGATTGAATTCAGATCTGAACTTAGTTATTAGGAATAGATTAAATGAAAATAAATATGAATCTTAAATACCCAACAGCATTAGTTTTAGTGTGCCATTACTCTTATCTGAGGTGCAAGTCTTTCTTTTTTCATTTAGTTAATGATCTATATGAAATGTTTTAACTACTTTCCCATTCATTCCAGATATGTTGTGTTTGTATTTCTGCTGAATATTATTCACTTCACATTCAAATGAATAAAAGTATGTTAGTGAAGTTCATTAAACCAACATCACGTTACTTAGAACTTTAATCTGTGAAAAACTCTGTTCTTCAGGAGTGTTTGGTGATGAAGTGAAGCCAGAGTTTAGTGAATTGTCAGTGATAGTGGGGGGTTCAGTCACTCTGAAATCTGGTCTTTCTAAAATGAGGAATGATGATCTGATTCAGTTGTTGTTTTATAACACTTTAGTAGCTGAAATCAATAAACCGGCCGACAGATTCACTGTACATGATGATGCTCTTGATGAGAGATTCAGAGACAGACTGAAGCTGGACAAACAAACTGGATCTCTGACCATCACAAACACCAGAACTGAACATTCTGGATGTTATTATGAACTGATTAACAATTTGAGGCGTTATTTCAATATCATTTCGATCTGTGGTGAGTTAAAAACTGTTGTAACTCTTTTTTTATGACAAAATTGATATTAAATAATATATAGTACATCTTTTTGTTCTTTGAAGATTTTAAAATTTTAAAATTTAACCTATTAAATTTAGTAAACCTTTATGACGTTATTTAACAGTATTAATTTGTGACAAACCCTGTTTCTGTTTGTTCTCTGTGTGTGTTTCATTACAAATATGAAATATCAGTGATGAAGGGAGATTCAATCACTCTCAAATCTGGTCGTTCTGAAATAAGGGATGTGATTCAGTGGAGGTTTGGAAGTCAAAACACTTTAATAGCTGAAATTAATGAATGGACCAACAGATTCACTGTACATGATGATGCTCTTGACGGGAGATTCAGAGACAGACTGAAGCTGGACAAAAAAACTGGATCTCTGACCATCACTAACGTCATACCTGAACATACTGGACATTATGAACTACTGAGCCACAATTTAAGGTTGGGTTTCGATATCACTGTCTCTGGTGAGTTAAAAACTGTTTTAACTCTTTTTTTTTTTTTTTTATGAAAAAAAAAATGATATTAAATCATGTACAGTACATCTTTTGTTCTTTGAAGTTTAAAACATTTTTAAATTTAACCTATTAAATTTAGTAAACCTTTATGAAGTTATTTAACAGTGTTAATTTGTGACAAACCCTGTTTCTGTTTGTTCTGTGTCTGTTTTGGTGATCCAGATAAAATATCAGTGATGGAGGGAGATTCAGTCACTCTGAACTCTGATCTTACTGAAATAATGGACGATGATGTGATTCAGTGGAGGTTTGCAAGTAAAAATACTTTAATAGCTGAAATTAATGAACTAGACAGACTGAAGCTGGACAATCAAACTGGATCTCTGACCATCACAAAGACCAGACCTGAACATAATAGACATTATTTACCGCTGACCAGCTCTGTGATCTGGCCGTCTTTTTATCTCAATATCTACGCTGTTAAATGTCAGATTCAACTTTTTTATCACAGCCTTAAAGTAGATCTAAAGAAGTATTTCATCATGTCTAATTACATAAAAAACATATTTTTTTTTTTTTTTTTTTACATTTACAGCCAGGTTTATATTTTATCTTGCATGTCAGATTGTTTTTAAATGCTCTAGTTTTTGAATACCTTTGATCAGTTGGTTCTCCTCGATGTTTCTTCCTTGTCTGCTTGAATATCTTCATTCATCCTCATGTCTCTTTATTCTCTCGTGTTTTCAGTTCGTCTGCCTGTTCCTGTCATCAGCAGAGACTCTTCACAGTGTTCTTCATCATCATCATCATCACAGCACAATTGTTCATTGGTGTGTTCAGTGGTGAATGTGAGTGATGTGACTCTCTCCTGGTACAAAGGAAACAGTTTATTGTCCAGCATCAGTGTGTCTGATCTCAGCATCAGTCTCTCTCTACCTCTGGAGGTGGAATATCAGGATAAAAACACCTACAGCTGTGTGCTCAACAATCCCATCAGCAACCAGACTCAACATCTGGACATCACTCAACTCTGTCACACATGTTCAGGTACAGCAGCGCTGATATTAGTTGATGTCAGTGCTGATATTAACGTTTATTGACTGATTTGATCTCAGTTTGGTGTTTTTATTCCTCAGACTCTGTCCACTGCTGTGGTTCTACTGAAGCTGTGATCCGATTGGTCCTCTCTGCTCTGGTGGGCGTGGCTACTGTCATTCTTCTGGTTTATGACATCAGATCCAGAAGACCTGAACAAGATCAAGCACAGATTCACACATCAGGTACATGATTGATGTCATTTCTCACAAAATACTGCGTATATAAATATTTGTGAAATGTATCTATTTATGGCTTTGCATGTAAATTTTTTTCAGGATCTATTGAAATCTAAAGCAGAATGCTGAACATTTAACTTTCTTGTGTATTTTTCTTATAATTACTGATGATTATTTGAGCTTACACTCTCTTTCAGTGTCATATTATTTTTAAAAATCCAGTTTGAAAAACTTTTTTGTTTATATTTCTCTCAGTTGAGCCACACAGATCTCTCTTTACTACTGATGTTCATTTGTCATCTGTATTTGCTTGTCTTTATCAATAAAGTTTTCTCACTCTGAGCTTCAAGAGCCACTCCTTGTTTTATTACATTTATTATATTGCGCGCCTCCTGGAGGAAAATAAACGGTTTAATAGTTTCAGCAGTGCATCACAAAGCTTTACATTATTAAAACATTTGTAAAAGTCTTAAGCTCATTAGTTTTTGTAAACGTTTTTTTTTTATCCACAATAAACAACTATAGTGCCTCATTTAAATCTTTGTAGTCTGATTTGTGTGTCGTTGGCTGTGTTCGAAATGGCATACTAACATACCGCCTACTGCCCAGTATACAGTGTATACTGCCTACTATTTTTTTAAAGAATAGAATAGTGTGTAAAACAGTATACAATAAGCAACAAAATGTTTCAGAGTAGTATGCTACAGTGCGGTCACATGACAAACACTGAACCTTAAAGGTGCTGTAAGTAAGTTTTTGGCTCTACTAAAGCATAAAAATACCATAATATGTTTGCAGATATTTAAGAAACATGCCAAGTTAACATACTTGTTTATCTGAAAAACAATGCTACAGTCAGTTATTCTCCTTTGAAAATGTGCGTTCCGTGTCGGAATTTCAGTCTCTGTTTTGGTTTGTGAAACCCGCCCACTGCCAGTTTACCCAATTGTATTTCGGGACCCCGGGTTGCCAGTTGGCGGGAAACAGCGTATTTGTTACAACCCCTGGCTCAAAGGGAAGCAACAAAAGGAGGGACACACGAAATCATAAGGCTCAATAGGAAAAGGCTTTATTAAGCTCAAGTAAATCACTATAATAAAAGAAAACACAACAGAAAAGATAATGTTTCTGAATACGTTAGCCATCAGTGTGTAAAGCGGGGTGCCTGGCTGCTAGTGTAATGTGCTGTTGTAGCCATGTAAAAGTGCTCAAACCAATACAAATCAAACCAAACACAACCCAATATCCCAAGTCCAAGACTCCTTTGTCTCTACTAACATCAGTTTTTAAAGGAGCATCTGAACCACAGCGGCAGGTGTAGGCAATGGACTGCAGATTAAGGCGAGTCATAGGCGGAGCTACAAATCACCCAAATTCCAACGGGAACCGTCACACCCCTCCCCATAAGACAGGGACTCCCACAAAGATCCCTGTAACAAACATAGTAAAATACAAAACAATCAAATATTATACACAAAACCAACACCAAAGACAACCCCCCAAAACACTAGAGGAGGGGTTTTGACACCAAAAATAAATCCAAGAGCTACATCATGTACTTGGAATGCGCAACAGCGCATCCGCTACCACATTTTCCGATCCTCGAACGTGCCGAATATCAAAGCAGAAAGACTGCAAAAACAGGGACCACTGGATCAACCTTTGATTCGGACACTGTAGGGTATTCAAAAAGGTCAGAGGATTATGATCTGTATATATCACAATTGGTGCACTGGAATTAAGATAAACAGCAAAATGCTGCAATGCCCAAATAAGGGCTAACGCTTCTTTCTCAACTACAGAGTAGTGTCGCTGATAAGAATTAAACTTCCTCGAAAAGAAACTGACTGGATGATTGACTCCTTCTGCATCGGACTGCTGAAGAACAGCCCCAGCTCCCACGTTACTGGCATCAACATGCAACGTGAACGTTTTATCGAAACACGGTGCCAGAAGCACAGGTGCTGAACACAGCAAGGACTTAACATTTTCAAAAGCCAGTTGACAACTAGAAGACCAGACAAACTTTGTCTTACTCTTTAATAAATCCGTAAGAGATGCCACTACGGTGGAGAAATTACAACAAAAAGATCGGTAGTATCCTACCAATCCTAAAAACCGCATAAGCTTCGCTTGCACCGGACACACTTTACCATTCCCCACCACCTTACCGAGGTACGTCACGGTTGCTTTAGCGAACTCACATTTTGCTAAGTTCACTGTAAGCCTAGCCTCAGATAAACGTTGCAACACTACACGAAGACGCTTCAAATGAGATTCCCAACGGTCACTAAAAACGACCAAATCGTCCAAGTAGACAGCACAACCCTCAAGACCTGAAATTACTCTGTTCATGAGGCGTTGAACGGTAGCTGGAGCATTTCGAAGACCGAAACTCATAACCTGATAAGAGAATAGCCCGGACGGTGTAACAAAAGACGATATTTCTTGTGCTCTCTTTGTTAAAGGCACTTGCCAATAGCCCTTCAGCAAGTCAAACTTGTTGACGAACTTGGCTGACCCAACCTGATCAACGCAATCATCAATGCGGGGCAGAGGGAAACAGTCTGGTTTAGTTAAGCTGTTGACTTTGCGAAAATCTGTACAGAATCTAACTGTACCATCTGACTTTCCCACTAATAAACACGGAGAAGCCCAATCAGAGGATGAAGGTACCGCAATATTGTGATCCTGCATATACTTGATTTCCTTCTCCATTAATTCCCGTTTCTCAGGTGCAACATGGTAAAAACGCTGTTTGATAGGCTTTGCGTCCCCCACATCTATATCATGCTGCACCCAATCAGTACGCGAAGGCGAATCTCCAAACAATTCAGGAAATCTACGTAACAACTGACATAACTCCTGACATCTTTCATGAGACAAATAACGGAAAATAAGTTCTAAGTTCTTCAAGGATTCAGAATTTTTTAAGCGACCGCGAAACACAATCATCAGGTGAAATGGTCTCCTCTTCCTCCCCCACTAAACTCACCTTACCCCCACTAACAGATACTGAAGAAAGTACTGAATGCACAGATGTCCGAGTCGTTACAGACTTGGTCTCATTTTCATAGTATGGTTTTAATAAGTTTACATGGTACCGTTTAACTGACTTTTTCCGTGATGAAGTTATAACATCATAATTTTCATCACTCAACTTGCTTTGCACAACAAACGGGCCATCAAATTTGGCTTCGAAAGGAGAAGATACTATTGGCCGGAGTACCAGAACTTGATCTCCTGGTTCAAAAACGCGACATTCGACTGTACGGTCATACAATCGCTTCATATTTTGTTGCCGTTTTTCAAGATTTACTTTTGAGAGTTCTCTTGCCTGAATAAGTCGGTTCTTGAACCCCAAAACACATGATGCCAAATTTTTCAGAGGCTCCGCAACTTTACCAGCCTCTTGAAAAACAGACAATAGACCACGAACTTTATGCCCAAAGACTAAATCATTAGGACTAAAACCCGTACTTTCCTGTACTACTTCGCGAGCGGCTAACATCATCCAGGGTAAGCCCTCTTCCCAATCTCTATCTAACTGCACACAATATGCTCGAAGCAGCGATTTTAAGGACTGATGAAATCTCTCCAACGCACCCTGACTTTGTGCGTGGTACGTAGTAGATTGATTATGCTTAATGTGCAGCTGTTTCAGAACCTGTTGAAAAAGATGAGAAGTCAGGTTTGAACCCTGGTCACTTTGGATGGTTTTTGGAATTCCAAAAGACAGATATAAATTGAGTTAACGCTCTCACAATAGAACGCGATGTAATACTACGTAATGGATATGCTGCCGGAAAACGCGTGTTCAAACATCACGGTAAACAAATAATTGCTTCCCGACTTCGAACGAGGAATTGGCCCGACACAATCAACAATGAGATGTTCAAAAGGTTCGCCAACAGCTTGAATTGGTTTCAGAGGTGCAGGTTTCAACACTTGATTCGGCTTACTGGTTAGCTGGCAGGTCTTACATTTTTTGATATAAATAGAAATGTCTCGTTTTAGACACGGCCAAAAAAAAAAATATCGCAGCAAGCAATCATAAGTCTTACGCACACCCTGATGACCTGATTGATCATGTGCAATTTCGATCACTGCATGTCGAAACTTAACAGGAACCACCACCTGGAAGACAGGATCCCCAACCAAGTCACCATTGTGAGGAATCCATTTCCTCAATAACACTCCCTCACTGACAAAATCCCCACGAGCAAGATTACCGATTTCTGTAGGAGTGACAGCCCACTGGAAAAGCTCATCCAAAGAGTAAATTCTAAATGAGTTTGTACCTCTTTTTTCTGCAAACGAAAACGCTGTCTGTATGCTTCTGGTACGCATTCATATGCCTTTAAAATTACAGATTTAACTTTATCATAATCTCTACAGTCATCGACCGACATTGAAGAAAAAACTACTTGTGCTTTCCCGGGTAAAACACATTGTAGCAAAGCAACAATTATCGTTTGACCAGTCCCTCATTTCTGCCATGCGTTCAAGCAAAATAAAGAAAGCATCAGGGTCTTCCTCATTGAACTTTGGAAGAAGTTTTAAATTTGAAGTAAGCGAAAAAGACACACCTTGTTCCTCACCAGAATTAGATAGCCTACCCTCCTTCATAAGGTTAAGTTTGAGGGCTTCTACTTCAAGTCTTGCTTTTTCCAACTCCAGCTTACCTTCTTCAGAACGCTGTTTTAGTTTCTCATGCTCCATCTGCAAAAGCAGCAGCTCTTTTTGCTGTTCAAAAGACAAACTCGTTTGCAAATTAGATGCACCTGCTACAGATTCATCCATATTGGACTTTAAAAAGCCTTTCCCAATCAGCTCAGTTTTCAAAATTAATTTAATGCTTTCTCTACCGAAATCTTTTATCCTTAATCACTATTTTATAATATTCAGCGATTTTTAACAATTGTTCTTTAGAACACCCTTCTAAAAATTCATGCGAAGGTGAACTAATAAACAAATCAATATCGGCCATGAAAATTCACCAGAAAACAATTTAACTTACACAGTGCAATCAAATAACGAGAGTTTCCCCTCTATCTGCCTACCCAATATTCTACCTAACTCAACCATAGTCTTCATGCGATTACTTGTGGGGGGT